GTGCAGTATCAACAAGTTTAACATGAGGCACCAGAGCCAATAAGGGAAAAGAGCTGAAGGTAGGGGTGACCGATATATATTAAATATACTCGACGTATCTCAAGTTTCCCCACGCACAATACTCAAAATGACTATCAAAACCATGGAGTACATATTCACATGGTGACATTAAGCCGTCTGGATCTATTTCACTGAGTTTTATTTTCCCCACACACTTTGAATGCATCAAAAACCCCTCAACCACACAGGATTATTTTCTGTGCAGAAGGCACACTAAACAACCGGCAAATGAAATATGGTGAGAGCAGGTGTTAAGCTAAGCAATACATGGCAGTGGTTTGATTTTCACACCGAGGGCGTCGAACAAAAGACGCTAATTTGCAAGACGTGCCGCAAAACCATTGCTGCAAAAGGTAGCAGTACAAATTTATTCTACCACCTAAAAATTTATCCACTGTAAAGCCAAAACCATACATTGTGCGATTAGTTTTTTCAATCGTTGCAGGTAGCTACAGCTCACACTGTACGATAAAACCGCAAGGTTTCGTCGTACAGTGTGAGTTCACAGCTCACGATGTCTTTTCTCATACTGTGCAGCATGAAGCCCTGATGCATTCTACCTGCTCACACTATACGTCTAAAAACCACGTTGGACTCAGGTCCACAGTGAGATGGCGACATTTGGACTCGTCTATCCAGAAGCCACACCAGTAGAAAAGGAATATGAAGCTCGCTAGAGTGAAACCCGCTGCCTTGGCAATTTGTGTAATTTCGTGCTGAAAAGCCCTAAGAAGAAAAGGCAGCGATGTATTTGGACAAAGACATGGCTGAGCAAACATGGCTACTACGGTCGGTCAATTTTACACAAAGAACTCCATTTTACTCGCACCCCAATCATACTTCTGTGTTTATATCTGAGAGGAAGAAGAAGAAGATGGGGCCCTGTTTTTGCGCACTGAGCAATTTGCCCACGACAATTGACTGAAAAATCAAAAAATTTTTATATCTTCTCCCGATTCCTGATCGGGAGGTGGTCGTGAGAGGCTGATCGCACCTCGTTACCCCCTGTACAGTACATGACGCTGAAAGTCAGGCAGATCGAAAATTCTTGCACTACTTGAAAGTCGCCAATGTTGAAAACATTGCATATCAGCGTCTCCCTGCATCAACAAAAAAAAGTTAAATAAATCAGCTGTGAAGCAGATGAAGTTGTTCTGGTCATTTGAAAAAGTGGTCCCATATGAGGGAAAAAGGAAGAAATCTCAAGTAAGAGACTGAAGTTTCAATATATCATCTGTTTCTAATAAATCTATATATTCGGCAGATTTCCCTCCTACTTTAATTACAAAAATAAAAAAAGTTGTCCATGAAGTTTCGATCTGTTGAAATGATATCTAGGTTGCCCTCAGGTTAACCTGAAGCACCTGCAGCACAAACTGAAATTCTTTCGGGGAAACTGAGGTTTCAAAGCCCCTCCCAGAGACATGTATCAGATCTATTAATAAGCAGGCAAACTAGACCTCAGACTGTCAATATGTCCACAGAGGACTCAAAATTTCTCATCTATAAATTTTTTTATAAGATATCTCAAGCCCATCTCTAATGATGTTTCGTTTTTATTTTAAAAGCAGTCATTCTATCAAAGCACCTTGTACTGCACCTGATTAATGAAAAACTATATCTTGGTTACCTAGTAACTTAAAATATATAAACAAATATTTTTTCTAAAGCAGCAAATAAAAACCATTTCTGATTGAAACTACATTTCCCACAGACACAATCATTTTAACCCATGAAACCAACTAGTAGATACAACGTCCTCAATCATCATGCACAAACACAGGCACGTCAGATTGAGGCCTGTAACAACATGCATAATCGCTGGAGCAGCACATTGGCTCAGAGCGGGGATGCTCACGCCTTGTGACTTCTGACCTATTTAAAAAAGCATCAAGTCCAATTTCAGCAGAGATGACAGTCTTTTAAAAGTAAACATGAGTCTGTGGACCTCTTTACTTCCAGCGTAAACGGGGTAGAATATGTCAGAGATGTTGAACGGCTTTCCGCTCATCATACTTTTCCATCATGAATGACACAGATTCTACATTTCAATATAAAATAAAACCGAATCCACCAATCAAACAGGCCCAACATGGACACCTAAGTTATCTTGTATATTGCAAGAGTAACAACTTGTACAGGAAAGAAAAAACCTTGTGAGCCGCTGCAAACATACATTTATATTATGCTCAAAGGTATCCAACCAATGGGACTGCCAATGGGCATACAGCTAACCACACATGCATTACACCTACATCTAAACACTGAATAATTATGGAGATATTCCATAAAGAATATCATTAGTAATATAAAACTGTAGCCACAATGACATAATAAGACAAACACATCATATTTATCACAGGTTGAGGTTTGTCTTGGTTACATTTGAAGAAGAAATATATTTTGTTTTCTACCGATACAGATCCTCCATCAGTGTATCTTACTGTTTATGCTGCAGGCAGTCATCACTAGCAGGCTGAAAGCTGGGAGTCCAAGCATAGTTATTTTACTCCTGCTATTTTTTCGAGATTCCAGCATTAATGCACCGCTTTTTCCTAAACATCTTTGGAAAATCAATGACATGTAAAACTTCTTTCTCTATTTAAATTCATAAAATGTAATTCAGTAATTGAATTCACTACACAGAGAGACATAATTTATGCATTTATGTTGATACTGATTTCAAAAGGAAGAAAACTCAGTATATATCCTGTAAAGTATTCAATAAAGCCCTGATCAGTCCTTTTAATTCATTTCTGCACCACTGCGGCATGGCATGGAGGTGTTGCAGGTTGGTTTTAAGCTGGCCAACCAGATTTTGCAGGAAGAAAAAAAAAAAAAAAAAGTTACTATGACACCAGAAAATGACTTTGGACCTGATGTTGATCTTTGATGCTCTTAATATCATTGTATAAAACATACTGAATAGCCTGTTTTTTTAAGCTGATCATTCTACCAAATTTTCTTGCATCATTAAAAGGGTTTTAAACGGTGTCAGTAGTAAACAACAAGATAAAATATCTTTATTAGTTTGAAACTTTGGCAAACCAAGACATTGGTAACAAGATCAAATCTGGAAAGCAATTATTAAAAGTACTCTGTTCACATGGGGTAAAAAAGGAAATCAGGAAATAAAAAAATAAAAAGTTCCCTTTAGCTAGAAAATGTTTTCTACTCAGTGTGTGTCGGGATGATAATATCTGATAACAGACTGGGTGGAGATAGTGGCACTTTAATGTGAAATCTTCCAGACTTACAGGTTTAAATCTTATTTCTAGAAACATTTATGAGTTGTTCAAAGTTGGAGATTGGATGAAAAAAAAATAAAACCTTCAAAAGTCTCAAAGGTCAACCCAAAAAGCCCCCATCTTCAAACCACTGGTGCAGGCCAGTCTTTAAAATGAAAGATTTAATCTCTGTTAGATTATCCCTATAAAGAAAGGGTAGACAGAGAAGATGTCGGCGATAAAATGTCAGGGTCACGATTGTTTTTCTAACAGAGAAAAAGCCATAATGTCAAAAAGGCAGCTGCTCGTTTTTCCCTGAAATTTCAGGGATTTGGGCACAAGTTTCCAACAATAAAAGTTATACAAACTTCTATCCAGCATTATAAAACAATGTAAACAAATGTTTTTATTTATTAATTAATGGAATATAATAATATATGAGAGTCCCTTTTTGATGCATATATATACAACTATGATTATTCTTTCTGCAGGAAGAACTGATTTTATCATTTTAATCAGTCGGTTGACAGTCGGTTTTCATCTATTCTGTCAAGTTCATGTTGCTGATATTTTTTAAAGTGTTTGACTCAATTCATATAGTAAAAACCCAACAGTTAAGTCATCTGAAAGAACATAAAACCACTGATTGCTTTTATTCTGAGCCTTTGCTTCTTTTCAATTGTTCCTCTCAGCATTTTACTACTTTTAAGCTGCATAAAGACATTCTGGAATGATAATAATGTGCAAATTAATCCATTCAAAATTGCTTTTTGATTTAGAAATTGAGTAAATAAAACACTTTAGATAAGCATGGGGTTTCAAAATGTTTGCGACACCAAAGTAAAACCCTGAATGCCAAAATTCCTTTTTTTGTACACTGGGTATGATGTGAGCCTCCAAATAGAAAGCATGTGTCATTTTTAGCAACATTTCTAAATAAAGTATTTAATCAAAGAATATAAGGTTCTTTAAGGTTCTTTGTATTTTTATGCTGTAAAGAAAACAGCATTTTTTCCATTTTAACCCACATACACACATCCCTGCATACAACCCCTTTCAATAAATGAAAAACCCACAATGTTCAAAGAAATAACTTCAATCTGACTAACAAAATAATAAATAAATATTCTATAAAATGAACACTTGAAAGACAGAAATTGCTTTTCAACCACTTCAACAGAATGATTTAAAAAATAAACCCATGAAACAGGCCCAGGCAAAAATAATGAACCCTTTAACTTCATATTTTGTTGCACAACCTTTGCACAATGATTCTTGTAACTGTCATTCAGACCTCTGCTCCTCTCAGCAGCTAATTTGGCCCACTCCTCAGGAGCAAACTGCTTCAGTTTTCTCCAGACAGCATGTTTCAGCTCCTTTCAAACATTATTTATTACGTGTTCACTTTTTGATTTTTTGACTTCGTAGCACACCTTTATTTAACATGTCCCTTTGCTCACATTATTTTCAGTCTTTTCAGGGTACCAACATTTCTTTCCAGGCCTGTTCAATGAATTTATTTTTAAATTATTCTGTTGAAGCATGATTCAAAAGCAATGTCTGACTTAAATTTGTTTTTTTTCCTGGAATCTTTATTCATTATAACTTTTGTCAGATTCATGTGATTTCTGTGACCATTGTAGGATTTTCCGTTATCAAAAGAGGGTACCATCAATGTTGTTGTTGTGTGTACACACTTCAGCCATGCCTTACCTGCTTTGCCTGTTGAACACAGTTCATATACTGCTTGGCCAGGCTAGAGCAGTGCAGGGTCTGCTGTGGGTTTTCTCTGTAGCATTCGAGCACCTTAGCCTGCAGATCAGTGCACAGAGATTCACTGTGACGGGGCCTGGAAGCAGAGCACAGAGAGAAGGGTCAATGAGATGAAATTCCTCACTTACTCTAACAAATGGATTATCTGTAATGCTGTAATGACGTCTAGTTCAGGGGAGATGTTTCTCTTTTTACTGACAGCAATGGAGCAGAACTTACAAATTTAAAGCCAGCAAGAGCATATTTATTAATGAATACTTTATTAGGGATTTGTTAATCTGTACAAATCTCTGCTGTTCTGTGTAAACTTTGAAAAATATTTCAGAGGCCTTTAATACCTCCTCATTAAAGAAAAACTACAACATAGACGTTTTTCAAACCCATTTTTCCCAACTCTTTGGTTTACAAACTCCAGACACATAAAATTGCTGTATGCCACTTTTAAAACTTTAAGGTATTGTGGAGGATTTTCGCAATTTTTTTAAATGACCCGCCCTCTTGAAAAAATGCACATGCACAACCCTGTACCTGCTCCTAAAAGGGAACGGGTAAACGTGTGCGAGAGCATGCAGGAGCCTATTTCTCCTCGTTTAAGAGTTGTTGTTCTTATAGCTCATACAAGCTTACTGTTATCGAACTTCCACCTTAACCCCTAAATCCCTCAATCACTATATAGAGCGGGGACTGACCATTCGGAAAGATGATCACTACGTTTTACTCCCCGTTGGGAACATAACTCCTCCTCCACCTCGCTGTGCCTGTGCCATCTTTGTTATTAGTCTCCGATGTAGAGTGGTGACAGTGGGCAGCTGTGACAGCAAGTCCCATAATGCTTTGTGGGGAGAGCTCTCCCCTCAAACCCCTCTGAGGCATTTCTTTTCTTCTCATACACTTCGCAGAAATTTTTTCTCTTACTACCCTCAGCCATTTTCAAAGAACTGCGGTGAGAAAGGTGAGCTTCAATGACTGTCTGAAAGCGTAGCTCACCACAGATATAAGCCTGAAAGTGCGCATGTGAAGAAAAAAATAGCTAACGGGAAGAGCACATAGGATGGCCTTACGTTAACATATACCCAGAATGACAAAAAAATAGTAGGACCAATTATTTAGATGATCCACCCGGAAATAAAAGATTGTCCTCTATACCTTTAAAAGGCTAACAACAGGTCAATGATATGGCTCAGGAAAGACATACAATATTTAAATAAATTGTCATAAAAGCTGAGCTGTTAATGTATGGTATGTCCTCTCAGACAATACTAAGAAGAAAACCAGTAAAAAAAACTTTGGGTCTTGTAAGAAAATAAAAGTGTAAAAAAGTAAAGAAGCTTTAAAAGCTTGAATAAAGAAGACTTAACATCTAAGTTACAGCATTTATCAAAAAATAAATAAATAAATAAGTCAAACCCAAGCTGGTGATTAAAAGTTTTAAGCTAGTTAGAAGGTGGAAAGACAGGAACACCAGCAACTTCCAGCTCATATATGTGGATATTAATAACTAGCAAAAGAAAACAGTGAAGAACATGTTCAAAATGAGACCGTTTGTAGTTTGTTTTAGTGGCAGTTGAACAAGATAGCTTCAAAAGAAAGCTCAATCTGCAGAAAGATGAATTATGCATCGAGCAAGCAGCTAAGTAGTCAATGTCAAACTTTTAAAAACATTTTCTATCTGACTTGAACCTTCAGTTTGTGTATGGCAACAAAAGCACACAATTCAAACCCCACCTCTGAACACATTCAGGCTAAAACCTTCACACAGGTACTGAATGCTAATCCTACAACAGGGTAATCCTTGATTGCTCTGTTGCTCGTGGTAATTTAGCTGCTGTTGGGCAGACTTTGCGAAGGGAAGGTTTTGGATAAATGCATTCAGACACATATATACATCCATTACACAGCAACACAAAGCAGACATTGCTGCTTTGAATTGGTCTGCTTTTTAGTGACTTATACTTTTCAATGTGTGCAAATTTAGATTGCAAGTCTCTACTTGGATGCATTGTTAGGTCAGTCGATTTATCTCTGGTTTAATGGATTAGCATCCTGCATGAAAAACCATAGTTTAGACATATTTCACTCTGGTGCAGCTTTCTGATCCAGGTCTTAGGAGCTTGGATCCTTCAGGTCAGAGAGAATCTCATGATGGGAAGGAAACTGAGGCTAAAACACAATCAGCATAGTCAATGCAATATTGGTATTCCTAACAATATGCTCTAATAGTGCATGGTATTAACCTGGGGTGGTACTGTCCAGTGCTGAAATGGCTGGCACCTTGTCTGCCCCTGCTGTGCAGCTGGGCGCTGTTGAAGGAGTTACAGTCCTGTCTGAAGTGCTGGCTAATGGCAAAGGGTTAAATTCTGAAATATTGGAAAGAATTTGATGACCGGTTTCACAGGTTGAGTGATGTGCAGCCCCCCCAGAAGCCCTCAGCCAAAACAATTAACTTGTCTGCCCCTGATGTGCAGTCACCACAGGCCCTGTCCAGTGCTGAACCTGATTTAACCTGGGGTGGTACTGTCCAGTGCTGAAATGGCTGGCGCCTTTTCTGCCCCTGCTGTGCAGTCACCACAGGCCCTGTCCAGTGCTGAACCTGATTTAACTTGTTCTCATTTTATCTGTTTTAAACTAAGTTTTAAGATGGAATGCACTGCCATGGAGTTAAAAGGTTTAATTTATATCTTTACACATAAGAAATAAATGACTTCTTTGTTGTTGTTGGTTTTATAAACCTCAGATTGTGAAAATATAGGTCATGATTTCGTAGAAAGATATCTTATATAAACTAGATTTCTTCCACACAGGAGGTATATTAATAAAACGAAATGGCAGAGTTGACTTTTGTTTTCCCCTCTGAAAATGCTATGCACGTCTTCGATCGAGGACAGGTTGAGGCTACCGGTAGACACAGTGACATCCCTTTCATATGCAACTATGCCTTGTAGTGTCTGCAGAATGCAGGTTTTCCTCTCCTTTAAAAGTTCTGTGACCTTCGCAGAGAAGTTTGTGTAAAAGCTAAAAGTATTCCTCTTAAACGCTCTGTTTGTTTAACTATATTCCTTTCACTAAAGAGATATGAATGTATTTTTCCAAGTCTATTTATATAAACCAATACAAATAAAATTATATAATGCTGAACTTATTAATGACAGTCAGGATGGTACCCTTGATTCTGTTTAGGCAATATGATAACCATCTTAGTGACCCACGTTTAATAATATAATGATGCCAAATTTGCCCCATATCAGCATCACTGCATTAGAATTTATGTGAGGGATACAAAATTGTCAAAGCAATGAACCAAAACTATGTTACTTTATATCATTATACACTATGCAGACGTACAGTCAGCACAAATAAAGATTTACCAGCCTGAGCAAGCAGAACCCTTAGATGAGTCAACCTTAGGGCACGCTGACCAAAATTACTTCAAACGACACTGAATTTCAAACTATAACAGAACCTACAATTCTCCAAAATTAGCTTCCACAAATCTTTATATCGAATAACATTTTTTAATCCCAACAGATAGAGCTAGAGAAGAAACTGTTTAATAGCAGCTTTAGCAAGTCTGGGATTCGTGAATGTAGAAGTCAAAGAGCAAGATGACCAAATACATCAAGTTCCTCCAGCTCTCTGGAACCAACTTATGTAAACAATAAAATCTGCAAATGAAAACCATAAAATATTCAATTTCAGTATAATTGAATTTCATTCAGTTTATTTATATGGCGTCAATTCACAACACATCATCTCAAGGCACTTTGCAGATAAAATTCAACCAAATCATACAGTCAAATTGATTCAGTTTTCTATCTAAAAAAAGCAGTTGATTGCATCGAATCATTGACTCGAAGGCAATCCCTCACACCAAGCATGTTTTTGGCAACAGTGGAGAGGAAAAACTCCCTTTTAACAGGAAGAAACCTCCAGCAGAACCAGGCTCAGTGTGAGTGGCCAACTGCCGAGCCCCAATGGGGTTCAATGAACCGATTGCAGGAGTCAAAGGTAAAGCAAAAGGCAACAATGTTGTGGTAAGTTGTTTGAGCCACAATGTTTACTTTTATTGACACTATTGAGAAGGCACTGCGCTCCCTTTAAATTATGGGATATTTGGAGTTTTATTATTTATTTATTTGTTTAACCTCACTGCACACCATCGATCAAAAACAGGCTGTACTGGCATTGTGTAAGTTTATCGGATCTCATCCTGCTGAACATATAAGCAAGTAACAGATTATATATTTAATACCATATTTGACCTAGCAGTTAACCCTATTTAATGTCAATTTTTTTCTTTAAATAATTACAAAAACAATTGTTGGGTTAATTAATTGAACATAAGTTATTCTACTTTAATCATATTACTTTAATCATATTATACTTACACATTTTGTTATCTCTATCTTACTCATATTACAAAGAGTGTTAAAACATTTAGTTTTGTTTGCTGTGTCATTAATGTTTTTTAAGGGTGTGGAGGAGAATGGAGAACTGTGCAACTAGATAAGGAGAGGGGTTCTCCTTATCCTCTGATGTTGTATGATGTTGTATGATGTTGTACGAAAATTCTGGTTTCAACTGGGTTCTGTTCCCTCCCCCTTTAGCGGTTGAAACCACATTGTAATCAGGGCGTTTCTTCAATAAAGGGCTTGGAGAGCAGATACTGCTTCAGAGTGGGTTTGAAGTTGTAACTGAATGCAGTTTCTGATCCCCTCTCCTTGCAAGTAAAATATACTAAATTCTCTGTGTCATTCTTTGTGCAGGTTGCTGAATAAGGTGTTTGGTGTTTAAACCTAACATTAATTGGTCCTTCGAGCCGGATTGCAAGATACCCGACGACCCCCAGCAGGTGAGTGAGATCCAGATAAGCCTGCGGCCGCAGCAAAGAGACCCTTTACGGGACTGGTCTCTCCCTTACAAGCTGGGGTCCGACGGTTGAAGCATTTCGAGGACGCAGAGAATTGTGAGTAGTTTTTCTTTTAATAAGGAGTGAGTGAATTATTGGAAGAAAAATATATAAAATATAAAAAATTTATAAAAATATAATAATATAAAAAAAAAAGAAAAAAAGATCGA